TCGATACATGACTGACGAGGCAGACCTTTTTCCCTTAGTAGGTTGCCATTTCTTTCATTTCTTTGCCATCGAGGGCTATAGAACCTGGTCTGTTCTGCTATTTACCCATAGCTGCCTCTGCTGTTTTCTTCAAGTCATTTTGGTTTTGTTGAGCACTTCATATGAAATTTGACCAGTAACCCAATTTAAAAGCAGTCAAGGTTGAATTTTTAAGAAATAGAATACAGAATAAAAGATAAATTATTAAATTTTAGGATGATGATCTATAATAAATATCAATACTTCAAATGATTGATTTAATTCAACTTAATTATTTTTAATATAAATAACATGGGTCATATCACAGTATACACTGTCTGAACCATTTTTGTTTCCAAGCTTGCATTTTGCCACAATGTGATTCTTGCCTCGACACTTCAGACAGTTTTTCCATAAGCTGGACATTGTTGCTTCCCTGGTTTATGGCAAGAAGTATAGAACCGGCATTCTTTTCTGAGTTTTGTTTTTCTTCACAGACTCTTCTGTGTCTTCATAGCAACTTTGTGTACTTGTTCTATTCTTAAAACTCTCACTTTTAGCAGTTCTGCTTGTGTTTGGGGTTTCCATATACCAAAACAATTTGGTCTTGTAGTATCGATGCCAGGAGGCATGGTGCAGTAATGGATAGTGGCTCAGATTGAGGAATCAGGGAGCTGAGATCGAATTTCAGTCGAATCCATTACATTCACTTAGGTGCTAATACCCTTGGGAAAAGTATGAATCCTCTTCTTCTCCCCCCAGTTATGGGTAAATAGCAGGACCACAGAGAGAAATGGCAACATAGTATGGAAAAAAATATGCTTCATCAGTCATGTATCAAAAGATACATTATCGCCTAAGTGTGTATCACACATGGCACATAACTGAGTATCAATGCCACGCAGTTGTCACAAAAGACATGTTTTTCTTAGTGTCCACAAAGCAGTTATAAAAGCTTCTACACTCTTAGAGTCTTCTTGTTTCCTCATGTGAAACAAAATTTTTGTATGTGACATTAGTTTCACCAACTGGATACCTGTCAAATGCTTCAAGAATTTCATAGGGTGTCCACTGTTTATCAGGTGTGGGAAAATGAAAAACGTTATACACATTTAACATGTGATCCCCTAATCTGTGAAGAAGTAATACTGTTTGCTAGTGTCATTGTTGGCCATGCAAATATGATAATGGCGTAGTTATGCCACTTCTGCTTACAAAGTTTCCAATTTTCGGCTAAACTGCCATTCAAACACAAGGATCAGGGGTGGCCTTATGCCTGCTGAGTGTGCAATTTGTTTCCAACCATGTCTGCTGTCTTTTCCTAGACCTATGTGGTTGGAATTTTTACAATATCAACAAAAAAACCACAAAAAATAACTTATCTTGCACTGTTCCCTTTCGTTGTTCTGTCGTCACTGACTTAGTGTACCACTGCAACCATGTTCACCTATGGCTACCAACACTCAACCACACAAGTTGACATGTCAGTCTTCATAATAGTCCATGCTAATTTGAACTGCCCACACTCCTACATTATGTGAGCAGCTTAGCCTACATAAGTGGTGTCCCATAGAACAAGTTCCCATGAAACAGTTACAAACACAGTTCCTTTGAAAAAGGAAATGCCGAAATGAAGGCAAACAATATTTTGTTTAAAGGATCCAGAAAACCAGCTTTGCCTGAAGGTAGATCAACCTTTTCTCATCTCCTTTGACTTTCAACATTTGAATCTTCAACATTTTGAATTGTGAATTTTTTTAAGTAAATTTCATTTGTTACTAAATGTTGATTTATATGTTGCTCTAAAGAAAGTTGTTAAAATTCCTTTGATGTTAAGGAAAACATTTGTTTTAAACTGAACTGTTGTTTTCTAAGAGAAACCATATTTGAATTTTGAAAGAATTGTTAACCTGTCTTGATAGTTTAAGCTGCACAAGGGAAATTTTGTGCAAAGGCTATCTTGTATTTTGCACAATTTGTATATTGTTGACAATCACAAATTGAGTAAGATTCTTGTCTTTTTCGTAAGGACCTTTAAAAGTGCTTATAGAAGGAAGGATAAGAGATTTCAAATTCTGTTTAGACATTCACACTCCTCTCTTCTCTTCCTGCTACCCATGTTTTGTTTTGTTTTTTAATTTCTATTTTACAAAGTCAAAAACTAAGTTGTAAAGACTCATATCCAAAGAACATAAAAATGAAAAAAACAAAAAAAACATCTCTTCAACATCTCAACATATCTTAAGACACATCTTCTATATAAGATATCATTTTAAAAATATTGTTGGGGATAAATATTATAACCCCAACACTATATTGTATTGGCTTTCAGCATTATCCCAATTCAGTAAGGTTTAAAATGTCAGCTGCAGTTAAAAATAACCAGCAAAACATTGTTTATATCATATACATGCACATGTCACATCAAAACTGGATAAAATTACAGAGTAATAAATATCAATATCATTGACATCTAAAAATCACTGACACAGAACTGCAATTGTAGTACTATGAGAAGTTAACAATTTTATGAATTTCTTGGTAGGGATGGACAATATGGCAACCCATAGATTAAAAAATTTCTTTCATTTATACATAAAAGTTTTTTGTCTTCATAGACGTCACTCTTCAGGAAGTTACATAATTAGGCTTACACAAATTCTGAATGATACATTTTAAGTGAATGAAGAGATTAATTATTTACTATTTACTTAACTCAAAAATAAACTCCAACTTCAAAATCATACTAAGTGGGGTTCTTTGATTAAAGATAATGCATATTCAATAACAGATGACAGTCAACATTATATAACATGATAGCACATATTAAAGAAGAAATAATTAAATTGGAAAACACTTGACACAAACCTCATTTTTCATAAAGGGTATGTAAAGTTTTGTTGTAGTTTTTATACATTCTGTGAATAGAAAATCAACCTAACAAATAAGTTGTAGTGATTTTAATTATTTCTATCTATACATTACAAAACAATTCAGTAAAGGAATTCATTAGGCAGGTAATGGTAGAGGTTTGAAGAAAGTCAAGACAAAATGGATTATGTCTGTGTACAAAGGAAATATCCTATCTTTGCATTGTGTAGATAAGTAAAAAGTATGCAATCAAGAATTGGCACATAGTGAAACTAGTTTTAATTTAGCTTACACTAATGTCTCCAATTACATTAAAGCACTTCTATTATAAGCAGGCTTTAAAATTGTACAAATAACAATGTAGCTCAACAAGGAAATAAAAAAAACAAAAGTAAACATTCATCAGATTGAAGCTAAATTTCATTCCTATGCTGATTTACATAATTTATTTAATAAAATATGGTATGTATGTATTTGAGGATAACCATCTACTAGGATGGCCAGCCAATCCCTATTGCAGACGCTTGCTCAGGCGCATTTGTGTTTATTCAACACCACACAGCCCATCTGTGATTTATACTGCAACTATGCTGAGCAGACCTTAGTCACAGTTTCTAGGAAAGAGCGTGTTATCAACCGTGATCAATAATTTGAACAAGTCCATTACGCTCAAACCCTTGGCTACAATGACATATGACTTTGTGCTAGCACAGCTATTGATGGCCCCCCAAGGGTTCCATTTACCCAATTTCACTCGCAAGGCTTGTGTCAACTCGTGGTAAGGTTTTCAGGCACTTTCCAAAGGTGTCACATACTGGGATCAACTTCTCCAGTCCAATAATATTTGGAAGTCTCCTTGCTGACAAATCAATGATGGTGAGGGCCTCATGGTCAGAATGTGAATATTGTAACCACTTGGCCACATGCCCTTAATAAAATATGGTAACTATTAATAAAATAATAAAATGAAAATATAAGAGCTTAGTAGAAGAGAAAACCAGACATTATTTTGCAATAAATTTCACTAACTGTGTAGAACAAAACAACTATTCTATAAAATTTATCAATATAGAAATAAATTAATATATTTACTGGCCTTAAAAAATGTGAAAATATTCCAATGTATCACAGATATTTTGGACAGGAGTTACTTGAGTGACAGGCACTGGATAAGTTGTGGTGAACAGTAGTTAAAAAAATGTCTTTGTTAATATGCTTCTGTTGGACAGAATGTACAGCTCTTTCATTAAAATTATTAAGTGCTTACTATTAGAAGGTTTTCATGTGTGTGTCTTTAAATATATTTTTCCCAGTTGTTATACTCTGCTTTTTTAGAATCAATCTCTTCATGGCTTCATAAACATCTTTGAACAGTTTACAATTCTCATAACAAAGATACTGCCATCTAGTGTTGCCAGTACAAAGGAGAAAATTTTAGCAAAAAGACATTACAGACCAAAAGCATACAAATATAATTGTTTTATGTATCTGTCATAGAACTCCCAAATTATAATTGAAAACAATTGATAGCAAACATTTGGATAGTATTTACATTCATTGAATCCTTATATACACTGTCTTGTACATAGACACATTATCTAAAAAATAATTTTTGTTTGTTGTCATATCTAATCAAAGTTGAAACAATGAAAAAATTCTACCTAAACACACACACACACACACACAGATCTACTGCAATTATCAAGGTTAAAAATTAATTTCTACTAAAAGTTACTTTTGTCTGGCTTCCTAATAGTTATAAATGAATAAGTATTTAATTCTCAATCACAAAAACTAATCTTTTTTTTTTTTTTTGGGTTTTTGGAAAAATCTAGTTACCTAGTCAAAAGCAGATAATAGTCAAGAATGAGAAAAGTAAGTCCTTAATTTTTTATGAACAATTTTACTGTAAGTTATGACTATTAAAGCCATCTAGCACCTGCTTTCATTGATTTATAGGTAACTAAGTAATGTATATAAAATTTTATAAAAAACACTCAAGGTTGCTTACCAAGAGTTAGCCATTTAAAATGATAAAAAACAATATTTTTGTAGTGTGTATAAATGAGAAAATTAACGAAAAGAAAGAAATAAAAGTTGTGTGTACTGACCTCCACAGGTGATGAGCCCTGTTGCCACAGATACAATGGTAGCCGCTTCTGCATTGCTGCTGTTGAAGGTAACTTTGAATTCTGGGTAAAGCACTCCAAGAGAAAATGGAAGTCCCACACAAATAAATACATTGAAGAATATACAAGTAAATACAAGGAACTGGTGGAATGTGACATCTTTGCAGGATTGCTTGCACCCTCTTCTTTTTGAATTTGAAATTTCCTCTTCTCTTGTTTCATAAACATCTTTTGAACTAAAACCAAAAATATTACATAAAAATATACTTATTCATAATGAATTTTTACATGAAAAATTGGTTCAATAATTGTTTTATCCTCTACATATGTAATGGGACTGTTATTTAAGAAAAAGTTAATATTTAAAACTTACTGAGGAGGATCTTTTCTATTTTGATGCACAAAAATACATAAAAACAGATGCAAGTTTATTAAATTGAGAAGTTTCAACAATATTCTATGAATTACACAATTTATTTTGTTGTGGACATGTTAAATGAAAGTTCTAATTTGCCAATACTCTACTGTCATTAACAAGATATACTCAATTAAAAAATGACAATCTGAAAGAAGAGATTTCACTAAATCTTTAATTCAAATCCCAATCTATATCACTAAAAAATGATTGTATTAATATCAAAATTAATGTAAAAGAGGAATATTCATTTTAATGTAGAAAGAGTAGAAATTACTTTATTATTATTATACTTTCCAAAAAATTATATCAGCTGAGTAAGCTGTTAAATTGAGTGTACTGGGATTAGTTTTAGAATGTTAAAAATTATAGCCAAGTTAGTATATTATACAATATCCTTACATATGACATTTAATTAGAAACACAAAACCAAAATATGGGGAATATGGGTAGGAAGATAATTTTCTATGGTAAATGGAATTATCTACATGCCTTGAAAATCAGTATTAGAAATTTTGGTTTCTTCAAATTTAACACCAATTGTTGGCATCAATAAAGAACATACAACTGGTTCAGTCACTACAGAATACTATAGATTTTTTTTTTTACTAAGAATATTTTAGTCTGACAGTGTCACAGTAATGGGTCACCTAGTAAAAAAGGAGGCTTATATTTAACATCAGGAAGAGGCAGCTGAAGTTTCTGGGACACATAATGAGGAAGGAGGGCCTGGAGAATCTGAAACTCACAGGTCAAATAGAGGGAAAAAGAGACAAAGGGAAACAATGTGTGACATACTTGGCAGGCTTAAGCATGTAGATGACAGAATATGATCTGGGGGAGGAAGCAGAGAGAAGGAACTTGTTGAGAGCTGCAAGGGATAGAGGGAGGTGGAGAGCCATGATCAGCTATGCCTTAAAAGGACATGGCACATAAAAAGAAAGAAAGAAGTAAAAAACTGAACTCATTAAACTAGCAAATGTTTTGTCAGGCTATCATTGATACACAAGTTAATTATATCAGGTTTATAACTGTCAATTTGTGAAGTCAGTGAAAGCCATATACACACAATATAAAAAATTTTATAGGGATGTAAAAAAATTAAAAAGTGAATATAAAATAATAAAAAATAATACAGTAAACTAACTTTGTCTATTGCTCTTTCTCTTGAGGTGAGAATATAAAAAATTCATCTAAAAAAATGTAAATTAGCTAAATGATTAATGGAAAGTTGAAGATAAAAAAAAATTATTATTATATTAATAGACTAGGTTTCTTTAATTTGCTTTTAAGAGATGTGTTTAAAATAATTAAAAGAAAGCCAGAGAGTTACTAAAATATAAGCAATAAATTTGATTTGTTTTCAAACTTTCTAAAAAAAAGAATGGCTCCAACAGAAGGCAGACAATTTACACGATTTACATTATTCAGACTATTGTCCTCATCTTTGTCACCATATTTATTACAACATTTCAGCTGTTGTACACTCCGGCCTTCTTCAGGTGGTTGGAATGTCAAACTGAACCCATGTGCCATGTTTAATGGATGTCAGTTATCTCCAAGTCCTCCACTGCCTTAACTGGGTATTGAACTCACACTCTTTGGGTTCTGTCACTGGATCTAACTAACACCTTTATCCACTGTGCCATGTGTCCTTGTTAATGAATTTCTAGGTATTATAGACCTAATGTCTTCAGCAACAATTTTTTACCAGTGCTCATATTGTAATTTTTGCTGTTATCATTGCATGTTTTTTACCAGAGCTCATATTGCAATTTTTGTTGTTATTATCGCTTTTCTCTGGCACTCCTTATTACTGGTTCCCATATAGTATTCATTTCTATGCTTGGTTGGCTCAGGAGATTTTTGTGGCCTAGCATATGTGCTGATTCCTTAAGTTTATGAATTTTCCAATGGTGTTCTTTGTCTATGATCTCAACCTGATTCCACAGAGGTTTAGTACCCCCAAGAACATTTATGTTGACATGGTTTCTACATTAGGGGATGATGCTCCAGCTTTATCAACAGTGCAAAAATGGGCAGCTGAATTTAAGATTGGAAAGGAGAGTCTTGAAGATTACTAAGACTGGACATCCTGCAACTGCCATCACCAAGGAAAACATTAATCATGTTCACCACATGGTGATGGATGACAAGTGATAGAGTATAAATCAAATAGCCAATGCTATTTGCATATCCCAAGAAAGTTGAGAATATTCTGCACAATGAACTTGCCATGATGAAGGTTTCTGCTTGGTGGGTACCATGTCTTCTGACACCTGATCAAATGTGCACCAGGTTAATCTCATTAAGAGGAAATCTGACATGGTTCTAGGCAGATCCAGTTGGTTTCCTTGAACATTTCCTAACCCAGGATGAGTATTGGGGGTCATCACTTTAATACGGAGACAAAGAGAACCCATGCAGTGAAAACACCTGCTCCAAAGAAGGCCAAGATCATTTCATCTGTAGAGAAGGTGTTAGCCTCAGTTTTTTGGGGTGCAAAAGGCATTGTGTTTATTGACTATCTTCAAAAGGGCCACGCTATCAATGGAGAGTATTATGCCACCTTACTAAAGTAATTATGAAAGTCTGTCAAGATCAAACACCCATGAACAGTGATGAAAGTGGTCTTGTTTCACCAGGACAATGTTCCAGCATACAATCCTTGGTTTCAAATGGCTGCTGTGCATGACTGTAGCTTTGAACTGATTGATCACCCTCCCTATTCTCCTTATTTCACCCCATCTGACTATCATTTGTTCCCTAACATGAAAAAAACACTTGGCTGGGAATCAGTATCTCAGTAATGATAACATCATTATTTCCTGTTCATGACTTTTTTTGACCAACAGGATGAAATTTTTTTTCATCAATGGAATTCACGCATTGCAATACCAATGGAAGAAGTATATGAACTGCAAGAGGAACTATGTTGAAAATTAAACCTCATTTGGTCACATTTCATGTGAGTATCTTGGTTAGCCTATGACTATTTCAGCCAATACTCATAAGATAAATTTGTTTGTATTGCTGATACAGAGGATATGAGTGAAATGTCTCTTTGTGAGCAACGAAAGGAAGGAGAGAATTGGTTGGGTCTAAGTTGATGTATGTGTCAGGTATATCGACTGAGTTCACTGGTGGTGATGTTGACAGCTTGCCTGTTCACCACAACTCCGTATAGTGTCATGAGTGATGTTTTAAGCTGTGGGGGACCATGACTCATCGTCTTTTCCATGGTTTTGATTTGGCAGCAACATATGTGATTGGCTCCTTCTATATTTTATTTTATTAATTTTTTTTAAGGAATTTGTTTTGTGAACCAGATATGATGATCAAGGATCCCTGCACAGAGAGCAACTCTTATTTTTATTTTTGCTTTCCTAGCGTTCACATGTAGAATGAATCAGAAAGAGAACTAATTTGAAGCAGTGTATAACACAAGCTAATGACTAAGGGCTGTTTGTGAAAAATGCCCTAAATAAGAAAGTATTTTGATTGTCAGCAATGGATGAACTAGGTTGTTTCTTATGAAAGAAGTAAGAAGCAAAAGCAGAAAGAAACAAAAGAAAAAGAAACAGAAGGAAAAGAAACAAAAAAAAAGAAACAGAAGAAAAAGAAACCAGAAAAAGAAAGTGAAAAATTCTTGAAATTAATTTTTTAGACTGGTTATATTGCCTTAATAATAAAGTGCTAAGAGGAAAATTTTGTGCCATCTTATTTGTGAATGTTGTATTTTTGTTTTGAGTCTTGTTTGTATATTGCACCTTAAGAAAACATGGGATAAGAGAAGTGACATCCTCCCACTTTCTCATAAAAAAAGTTTTTTTTAATAGAGTTGTATCTTTGGAACATTAGTAATCATTGACCACAACTGTTTCTACTTTCTAATAGTAAAAGTTTCCACCAATACACCAAGTTTCTTTTAAAATCAGGGAGAGAATTAATCAGCAATGAAGCAGGATAAAGTTTTCTTTTGATTTATTAGAACTTTAAAATAATTTATTATTTCATTTCTGAGATGAGTAATTGTCAATAGTCTTGTATTATTTCGAAATATTGTTCTCATCTTGGTTGATATGTTATTATCGACAACATTTTGACCATGGTCATCATCAGTTTCACAATTTTTTCCCTCGTCAGAACCCAGAAAAGATTATCTGGACATGAAGAATGAAGAATCCCAAAACTCTGACTTACATTTTCTCTCAATCAACAAATTTCTTTGAACTCATCTTACACCGAATTTCGGCCTACAACACGTCATCGGAGAACATTCCTTCCATTGAAACATAGTATTATTTCTTAAACGGAAATCTTTTTTCTGTGAGTTAAGATAAAAATATTTTAAAAGGCTTTAAGAATTTCAAGTTAAAGGGGAATAACCCCTGCTATATTATTAATTATAACTGCTACACACTTTAACAATTTGCAACTCAGTTTTTTACCTGAGTAAATTCATTCTTCAGTTTTGTATATTGTTGATATAAAAATGTTTATTTTTTGGATTTGATAGCCTTGTGCCATACCCAAAGTTAAATGTTTGTGGCGGAGTTTATTTTCACGCAGCCAACACAAATAATAGCTTCTGAATCTGATTTTTCCTAACCTATTCCTCCGCAACACTTTGATAATAATAGTCTGAAACCTTTATGGCTGGTTCAAAGCTAACAACCGGCCAGCAATAAAAAAAAATTGTCTTCAAAACGCGCTGTCAGTTGGTAGGGATAAAGGAACCCCACTTAAAATGTATGTAAGCAAAAGTTGTGAAAAAAATTTGAACATTTTTAAAGAGCTTGATGTTGGATTGAATTAAGTGAATTTAATGATTCCAAAGTTTTTTCACAACTTTGGCATTTAGTTCTTTGATTTTGTTTTTTCATGTTTATGAACTGTTAAGTGAACCAATTTTTTTTTTTTTTTTTTTTTATCTTATAAGCCTAGCTTTTTTTAACCAATATAAAATTGTTATTTTTCATAAAATAGATAAATAAATTGGAATTCGAATGCTTTCAAGGATATCACATGCATTCTAATTTTTCCGGAAATATAGGACGGAAATTTAAAAAATTGAAAATTAATATATTTTTTAAGTCCAAAAATGGGCATTTTTTCAATTTACAAGTTTTCACGGCAGTAAAACAATGCAATGTTTTTTGGGGTTTTTTTTTTTTTTTTGTTTAGTTAGTTGAAGTTTTATTAAGCAAACAAAATAGACTACCAAGACTAAGAATTATTAAAAGTATGATAACATTTTTTTATCAGTTTTTAAAAGTGAAATTAATTTTATCGGACTTTTACTACGTTGCTAATAACTTCAACTACTAAAAGTAAAACAAAATAATTTAAAGACATTACATTTTTTATTGTTAAAAAAATGTCTTTCTGTTCAGTTAAATTAAAAGTTTTAACTTAAAAGTTTTAAAACGTGGCATTAAAGACTCTTCATTTGTTAAAATTTAAATAAATATTTTAAAAAAACTGGAAAATTATGAATTTAAAGTACAATGGTTTTTTTGTTTTTCTTTAAAAAACAAATAAAAGTAAAACGTTTTTTTTTTTAAGTTTTTAAAGCTTTCTTTCCCGATGTAGAAAAAAAAAGTAACGTCTTCGTTTTTTTGTTTGTTTTTTTACATATCCCCAGTTTTATTTTAAAAAATAAATAAAACACAATTGTACTTTTATTCCATAATTTATCAGTGAGGATTTTTATAAATGCCACGTTAACAGAAACACTGGTATCATTCTGAAAAATGGATAAAAATATTGAAAATTGATATTGAATAATTTCGTGTTGATATATAAACTTTAAGAAGGGGTTAATGTGCATTGTAATATTATATTCCTTCTGGGTAGGGGTGGCAAACTTGGGGCCGCCTTGGGCAATAAAAACAATAGCTACGCCACTGCAGAAAAGCATTTTCTAACACAGAGGAAGGTTTTTCTATGAGGTGCTAAAGAAACTAAACAAACTAATAGCTAAGAGCTCTATTGACATCCTGATGTTTGGGAAAGTGAACTAATTTTTTCTATAGGGGATATATCCGTAAAAATTACTTGACGAATATTATAACATGAGTACCTTTTTATATAATTTTTTTAACTACCCAGTAATCTTGAAAGTTTAAGAAAATATTCTAAGTAAATCTGATGTTTTACTGAATTTTAGATACTTTGGCTTTTAAATTTAATATTGCTTTTATTTTCAGATAATATCGAATATGAACGTACATATTTACAAAAAATCAGCACGTTTATAGACACACAAAAAAAAAATAAATAAAAATTATTTATAAAATACTTGGGGTCACTGAATTGTAGTAAGCTTTTCCATTTATGATTAGTAAATAGTTTTTACTTAATATCATCTAACCGGTACAAATTAATACAGAATTTTAAAAGTTTTAAAAATCTATAAATTATTTTAATAAAAATTTTTAAAAATGAATACAATTCTTGTAAAAATTCATTATTCATAGAACATTTCTTTCTTAAGACAATAATAGTGTCCATATATCTTATTCATAAAAGAAATTAAAAGCTTTTCTAATTAAATAATGTCTTATATTGCATTTTACAATTCAAAGCAGATTTTCAGTAACTAGTGACTGGTGGTCCTGTTTTACAAAAAGGATAACTTAAACCATATAAAAATGAATTTCTCAAAACTTCATAAATGAAATTATTAAATAAGTGGGGGTTAACAAATGTAAAAAATTTTTTTACAAAGATTTTCCAAAAAAAGAAACGTTTCTAAAATAATTTCATTCATTTGTGAATAAGTCCTAAACTTTCATTAAAATCCGATAATTATTTGATTTCTGCAAGAATTTCCAAATCAAAAAGATGCTAAAATTTTCTATTTATAGTCATCTGCTGACGGAAAAAAAAATAAAACCAAAATTTTGAAAGTTCTAAAATAAAAAAAAAGGATTATATAATATAAATAATAATAAAATCCTTTGGTCTTTCCTAGTCTCCTTAAAAAGAAAGATTTTGAGGGTAAAACTTAGCAACTACTCCCAAATTTAATAAAAACAAAGTTTTTAAAACTTTGTTTTTTAAGTATTGGACATTTATTCGTCATGTTCATTTTTAGCGAATCTCTGATGAAAACGCAGAGATGGTCAGCAGTTCCTTCAATTTGTCCCGGCATTTTCTGCGTGTCTTTGTTGTATGGCAGATGTTTGCATTTCGTTCCCTCACCTTACATATGATCACATCAATGAAGCCATTATCAACAAATCATTTTAGTCTGGGGAGGTCGTTTCAAAGGATAAAACACGTGGTATAGGATTTTTTTTCATTTTGTCATTCAATTACCCACCATTTCTGCGTGTTTAGTAAATTTTCTACAATATTATTATTTAAATTTATCAAATATTTTTCTAAATACTAATAAAACATAACACACCTGATTGTTTCTTATAATGACTGCTTCAAAAGAAAACTTATGCAAGCAACATCTTAGTGGGGAATTGTTTTTTTAATTTTACCTGGACTTCCATAATTCAAGATAACCAACTAATTTTAAGTACCGTTAGTGACGCTTTGGAAATAGCATTTATTATTTTATTTCTAATATTAACTAATTTTATCTGTACTATAAAATAACGTTATTGAGTACTGTAAAAAAAATTAACTTTTTTGGCAGTGGAAATAATAATTAACTAAATTTATAAAAATAGAAATAATAAAATTTAATAAATTCACCTACTTAAACTTCAATTGATAAAAGAAAAACTTTCATTTCACTTCTCAGTCATTATGATTAATCATAATGACTGAGAAGTGAAATGAAAGTTGTTTTTTAAGCTTCGCAATGCCTTCTTTCAACTTTTAGTTAGTTTTAAATTTAAATTTAAAATTGAAAGCTCAAATTGACAACGTGCGTTCAACATGAACCAAAGATCAGACGACTTCCATTTTTTTTTTTAAATCTGATGAGTTGGAAGTCTTCTTCAATTAGAAAAAACGAAAGATAGCGTAATTAATAACTACACAATAAATTATTCCCATCTTCAAGGAATGCATGTCGAGAAAAAATATTCCTAATTCTAAAATAAACTAAAAGAAAACATCTATTTTCGTTTGCATTTTTGGCTGCAAAATAATAATTCATAAATAAATTCAAATTATTATTGCATCACGTTTAGTTTTACTTTTTGGACTTTCTGATGCAAGACTTAGGTTCGGCTTTTTATTTTATTCATTTATTTTTTTAGTCTATCTTACTAACAAAAAGTAAAAATGTTTGTTGAGGAGACGAACCAAAAAAGTTTACAAAATTATTCTAATTTTTAATTACTAGTTAAAAATTAATTTTTTAATGGAAATTTTGTGCTTGGAATATGAAGCTAAGTAAAAAATTTCAATAAAGAATAAAAATCAGTATGCGAAATGAATTACGGACGATAAACTTTTAAGTTTTTTAGTACTATTCCGAAATTGCATAACATCTTTCTTTACTTCAACTGTTTCTGTTCAGATTTATTTTATTTTTACAAAAGCAATGAAAAATGTTTTAAAAACCAATTGTGTTAGTTAACAAACTGAAACACAGTCTTTACACCAGTAATAATTGTAATTGGGAAAATAACAAAGTGATTTTTAAAACATTTTTCATTGCTTTTGTTTTGTAAAAATAAAATAAAATAAATCTTAGAATTTGTATTGCAAGACAAATGTCCTTATCTCTCGACAAAAATGTAAATTGTGCAGATTTCATGCTGAACTTTTCTTTAAAACCTGTGTGTGCGTGATATTTTTCCATTTTTTTGACATTGTCCAAGAAAAATCAAGGGGATGATGTTTTCCAAATATGAAATTAATGAGAATTTCTGAGAAAAATAAAAAAAAGTTTATTTTAAAAAAGAAATATTAGAGAAATTATTTTGCACTTTCCAGTCATAAGAAGAGTTTAGTTTTAACAATGAAAAATGAGATAACATAAACTTTCTTTAATGTTAATTTTAAAAGAAACTTTACAATTATTCTAAATATCAATTCCGAAGAGTTGCTTTGTTTCTTAGTTTCAGACTAGTAAACAGAAATTGTAGAGAAACAGAAAAAAACGGACTGCAAACGGCAGGAAAGATTGGGAACCGAACTCTTTTAAAATCAAGGCTTATATTATTTTATTTTAAAAGAAAAATGAATACAAAAACTTTACAACCCAGCGCCGAAGCAAATGATATATTTATTTAATTATATTTTAACTTTTTAAGTCGAATCTAAATTTGAAAAGTAGCGCATTTCATAACTCTCTCTCTAAAAAGTAACAGTAAGGTGTAACTGTAGTAGTATTGTTTTTTAAGAAATGTTTGTGAAAGAAAGGGCTTATTTTATGCAAGAAACATCACACAGTGACAATTACATCACAAAAAGCCCAAACAAAGGTAAATTTATCATTATTCGGATTTGAACTTAATTCGCGCGAACTCAGATTTTTTGTAATGCCTATTTCTGATTTTTCATAATTTTATTTATGAAAAAAAGAAAATCAAAAGAATCAATATACAACGCTCAAAATTTCAACAGGGTATGCCTTAAAAACAATTTAATGTTAATTAGAGTAATAAAGAATAAATAAAAATTGTTAATTAGTGAAAATTAAAAGCTTTTTTTTTTCTACCTTTGATATAATAGGCTCGATTTCGTTTCATTTTCAGATTCCAGTGAAGATTTTTGCTTATAAAATGAATTGCACTCTCTTGTGACTGAGCAATATTCATCAGAGTCATTCATTTCATGTTGATGTTGACCTCTGTCATTGTCTTCTTCCTCATTTTCATCCTGTTCTTTTAACTCTATATTATATTTCGAGGCAACATGAATTGATCGCGTACTCTCCCTGTAAGCGGTTGTTATTGTCATGCTTATTGCGTCGGAAAAGTATTTTCAGCAGCCGGTTAGCTAACTACAAAACTAGGAATGACACCAAAGTACAAGATAATCAGTTGTTGCAACAGATAAATAGTACACTACACTAGTATTCATACTTCTTGCTGGCTGACTCAATTTACCGTTGTCATTGCAGTGAAGGTTTTTGTTGTCTTTTGTGAAAATTCTATTATGATTAAAAAAAAACACACGTGACATAAAACAAATAAAAACAAGGGTTTTTTTTTTAAATTTAAAAATGTAATTTTAAACCTTAATTTTTGTTTTCTTTTTATTTAAATTTCAATGTGAGAGAGCGTATGTGAAATTGTGTGTTGTCTTCTGTAACATTTTAGCGCAAATGTTACACAAGTAATAGTACTTTGGATGAGTTATCTGTTTATTATTTTATTTTAAAATCAAATATGTATTTTATTCGCAATTATTGTAAACCAGCAGACACCAAGTTATAAAATACAAATAAAAAAAAAAAACAATTTCAATTTCAAATATCGCACTTCCAGTTCCGTCTTATTCTTGTGATTAATTTTTTTGTACTTGTAATTTTTTTGAAACCGTTGAAGTTGATTATTAAATTTAAATGATATCCAATTACCCATTGAATGTAGACTTATAAATCTTTAATGTCTTGTTTAACTAATAAAATCCCAATATGTTAAAAATAAAATTATTGTCTCCAACTTGTTACTTAACAAAAATCCAAACTTTTTAGATTATATTTTTTTATTATTGTTACAGTAAGTCATTGAAAGAACATGATAGACACCAGTTTAAGGAGAGAGTAAACTTGCCTGCAACAGGCTTTACTTAGGTAAAGAAAAAAGGAAGATCGGATACTATGGAGAATTGCAGTGGGCCCCATATAAGATTCCCACGTAACGGTTGCATACGTAATAATAATAAAATAATAGAACGCAACTGACTTATGATTTGTACAAATTATATTAATCACCATTACAAATGGGTCCTTGCAATCTTAATAATGTTTGCGACCAAACTTATCTGCTAAGGGTGAGTTGATGTTCTCGCCATCCACGTACTGTGGTGATAAGGATGTAGAGATGACCTGTTCAGCATGTGGTCATTCCGAAGGTTATACCAAGAGTAAGGAGTTGTTCAAAAAAGGGTAGAAAAGTGCGCCAATCAGCAGCTGTGAGCTAATTGGCTAACCTTAAACTGCCAAGGGCAGATAATCATATATCTTATTTCTCATAATACATAAGGTGACGAGAATCATGTTTTTATTGTTGTGTAGGGAGCATGTATTAAACGACAATACAAGAGAGTATATATTCCACAATAATGCATAAATTGAAACAGTTACTCTCAATATCAGAAATTTAGTCCTTTTGTCTTCATCCCCAACTTTCGCCCCACATCTAAGAATTGTAGGAATTGGTCCCTGAAAGATACGAAGATACATCGCAACAAAGGTTGAAAAAAAGTACACAAAATTTGAATTCGTGGCGCACCCGCTACACCATAGATTCTTCCCCAACTGACTAAAATCAAGAAAAAGTTATTAAAAAAATGTAAAGCCTGGAGAAATTACCAAGAATACCCACACCCACCAATTCAACATACAGAATTGAACTATGAAAACGATCGCAAGAAAGAACCTCGCTTGTTGTGCAAGCCCCGATAGAAAAATTTGCAGAAAGAGCACTTTCTGCAAATGAAACTAACAAATGCCCTGGTCGCTTCGCCGTTCTCGGTTGGGGGTTCGTCTCCGCTGTTGTCGAGATGGGGTCGGTTTCCCTGTCCGTGGGCGCAGGGAGATCTTGATTTCTCGTATTTCTCTCTGCAGGTCGGCCAACGCCCGTTCTGTATCACTCCGCTCGTAGCGTTCGCGCTCCGTTGTATCGGGGGTGTGAACTGATTTAACGCCTTGCTCAAATTGTGCAAAAACTAGGTCGGCGGATTCTGCCAAATCATCCAGAGGCGTGGCTCTCATCATTGGGGCGATAATCTGAGTGACTGATTTGGGCAAACGCTCCAGCCATAAACCACGAAGAACCTCCTATGACACACTGTGCTTTCACAGCTGGTTCCTCATATACATGAGAAGCTGGGTTGGCGTCTTGTCAACTCTGGTGACGTTTCCTAGAATCTTCGTTGGGTCGGTTATGGCGTGTCCCTAAACAGGGCCGAGTCAGTGTAGTAATACGACTTCCAGGGCGGATCGACCGCGGAAACGAGATCACCCCGAAGTGTATCTCTCAACAAAGCACCGGAAGCTCAGAAAGGTAGCGTACGGATACTGGTATTTATTGTATATAAAAATACAATTATGGTACAAGGCCGAAAAAAAGTGGAAGGGTTGAAGCTGGTCTTATACCTAGCTAATCCGATTCACGACCCATTCACTCATTACAATTTGCACATTCACCACAAAAATTCGTCCGTCACCAATCAATCCTCCAGACACCATAATACCACATCCTCTCCAGGGGGAACTACAAAACGCATCCCATGCCATAAAAATTTAATGATAATAGCGTACGGGTACTAAACTTTCATCCAGGCCCCCGGGTCGATCAGCTTGGGTTGTGACGGACAAAAGGGGCTAACAATATGTGGAACGATTTGTTCAAGTACTCCCTGGCTACAGGGAGTAGAAAACCGTAGATATAAAATTACTCCTCATGTTGTTCGATGTTTGGGAAGCACTGCTTAATCCGATGCTCTCAAGATACTGTTTTAGATTCAACTATATTGGGCCAATCGTCCAGTTACTTGTGCCCTACTGAACTTAAATCTGCGAGAAAAGGGGTTGTGAAGGTCAAGGTCGTTTTTCTAAGGAGCGGCCTATGGCAGCCGCGACAGGGCCCTTCCTCTAGAGAATTGACCATATGAATTAGTAAAAAAAATATTTATGAAGGTCTTTAAGGAAAGTGCTCCTCCTGCCGGATCTGGTCTGCTGCACAGGAGTCGCTGAGGTGTCGTCCGATGTCTGCGGTGTTGCGTGTGCCGGGTGAGCTGAAGTGGCGTCAAAGTTCCGCGGAGCCGGGTTTGTGTCGCACTGCCGCTTCTCCAGAAAAGCAGGCTTAGTCCGATCACTTGCGACGGCGTCGGTCATGTTGGCGCGCTTGATCGTAAGATGCTTGTCGGTGGGCCGAAGAACCTGAAAAGGACCTTGGTATGCCGGTGTGAGTGGCCGTCTCATGGAGTCGTTCCGTACGAAGACGAATTCGCAATCCCGCAAGTGTTGAGGGATGTACGAATCCGTCGGTTGCTGTCGCGGAGGTGTATATTTAAGCCGAGCCATTTTGTGGCGGAGTTCCTCGACGAAAGGAGTTGTTGGTTTTGAAAGCGTCTCGAGGGAGTCGTTGAAATATTCACGGGGCAGCGCAAGAGGTGTACCGAAAACTAGTTCGTGATGTCCTTATTCCTTCTCTGCAGCAGGTTCGTCAGTGGCTGAAGAATAATAGCACAATTCGGGATGAATCGACGATAGAAGTTGATCACACCGAGGAAATGTCGCAATTATTGATGGACGTTGGTGTAGGAAAATCCCGGATCGAGCTGATTTTGTCTGGCAGAGGTGCTATGCTGGAAAACTTCTCGCAAATGTTGCCTGTAAGAGTCAGCGTCTTTACTGCCACCAAGATGTCGTCGATGTAAGCGTATACGTGCGGTAGTACGCGCAGGACTTCATCTATGAGCCGTTGGAAGGTCTGGGCAGCGTTACGTAGACCGAATGGCATTTTTAGGAACTCATATAGACCAAACGGTGTTGTGACTGATGTCTTAGGGACGTCTTCGACGGGGATCTGATGGTATGCCTCTGTCAGCTCGATTTTCGAAAAGATACGGGCATCCTCTAGTCCGGACGCAAAATCATGGACATGAGGGACAGGGTACCGATCTGGTACGGTCGATGCATTTAATTTTCTGTAGTCGGCGGATATCCGATATTCCTTGCCACCAGGTTTAGGTACTAAGTGCAGTGGCGAAGCGTAAGGGCTATCGGAAGGATGAATGATGCCGTCGCTCAGCATTTTGCCAAATTGTTCCTTGGCGTACGCCAGTTTGTGTGGTGTGAGTCGTCGCTGGTTAGAGTATGCAGGCAGATCTCTAGTCCTGATGTGGTGCTTTGGTGGTCACCTGAAGCAGTGGCTTGAAGTGGCAGCGTTATATCTGTGAACTGTTTCAGGAGATCCAAGTACTCGCGACCATGGCATGTTGCGACGCTGATTCCTGTAGAGCTTTGACGTGTAGGCGCACGTAAGACACGGAGATTCGTAGTTGTGTAGGATAGGGTTCTGGGGTTCATATGGACCGCCAGTGCATAATGCGCCAGGAAATCCGTGCCGAGGATGGGTATCTTCACATTGACCACGGTGAATGTCCAAGTGAAATCATGTCGCATGCCGAGTGAGGGTTTTTTCTCCGTACGTGTCTATCGCGGAACCATTCGCAGCTCGCAGTTTGAACAGGGTGGGCTTAGCGGTGTGGTCGTTCTGATAGGGTACCACACTGTGTCTACCAGGAATTTCAGTTTGTTCCGACGATCCCATACGTAGAATAGACGACATTGCGTGTTGTTACCGGATGAGTTAGTCGTCATCACTCTCCGGTTTACTCGTTTCGCCGGACCGATGGGTGTGTAAAGGGAGGTCTGCAGTTCCTGGCTCCATCGCCAAATGTGCGATGAAACCAACAAACTACTTGCCAAACGCGAGTTGTGTACTGTCAACAGAGTGGAGCCGGAGTTTGTAGGACAGGAAACAATATGGTCAAATAGGGGTTTTATTTTTTTTAAATTATTAGTTAGTAATGCAAAGTAAATTAGTTAGTAATACAAAATAATTACAAATAATTGTTAATGAAAAAAAGTGTAAACAAATAAATTTGAAGTTATGGTCCGTCTGGAGCACCTTCAATTATTATATAAGAAGAGCCAGCTGATAATTTCCAGGTGGAGGAACTTCCCGTCGGAGTGGGTGCTACAGTTGTAGTATTTGTTCCGTGCCGAAGGCCTTCTTTTCCCCGTTGCGTAGACAGAATCCTCGGTCTTGTTCCATAGCGGTGGTATGACCGGCCCTGACCAGCTTAGACCTGCGGCCTGAGTGGAAACACTCAGATCCCCAGGTTAAAAACCGACCATGTGTCACAACCTGGCTCAGTGGAAGATCAAGGTAAATCCCAGGAATTTAAATCTTTGACAAGAATGTCGTAATCGCTGCTGCTGCTGCTGCTGCGGGATTAGATTTCCCAACCGGCACAGGGTGATATGTTTTTCACCTAGAAGGGAATCAAATTTTCAAAGAAGGTCATAAACTTTTTTGACCCAGAAGGTACAAAAATTGTTGAGGAAGAAGTAATCAATTGTTTTAACCAAGATAGAAAGGAAAGTGACATGAAAATTTCATCCTGAAGGTAGAACAAGAACTCAGAAGGGAAAGCAATATTTGGCTACCACCTGTGGGTGAGATGGACTATTTCACGCAGAAGATATGTTGCCGGGCCGATAAGGATGTCGCCCCCGCAAGCTTTTAGAAGAAAGGTGTGAACAGCCAAGACAATGAGGGGACAAAGGCAGAGGTTTAAAAATAATAAACGTCGATTTTTATTTTTCCAATGTGTACTGTGTGGAGAAAAATGTTTGTATTGGTATCGGGTCCGGTATGACTGGTTTCGGTCAGGGGAAGTTGAATGGTTATATCGGAGAAACGAGTGCAGCGTTGTCAGCAGCGGTAGCTGGTCGACTGCCAGATTGTCCGCGGCAGTAGCTGGTTGATTGATGACGCACGAAGATACATACGAAAAAGGAACTGAAACGTATGATTAGAACAGTTCTAAAAAAGATAAATTGTTTATAAATTATTATAAATTAAATCCACTACACCAGTGGCTTTCGATTAGGTGGTTGCACTTTTTTCTTACAGAATATTTTCTGCTTTAAAGTGTTGTATTCCCTTCCTAACGTTTCATTTTTCGAAGATTGTAAATCTTTTTTAAAAATCACTTATATATTTTGATCTGTTATCTGATTTGTTTTTTTAATAAGGCACATGAGATGATTTTTGTGCAAGCTTATTCTGTAGAAGCTAGTTTGTTATATTGTGTTAATATTTTGTAATAAATATTTGTTCCTTTTAAATTTCGCAGTAGTTTCGAGTTTTGTTTGTATGCTTTTTTTTTTTTTTTTTTTGTAATCTTCGGGATAAGAGGGGACGTTCTCTCGTTCCCTCCCAAGGTGAAGAATCCAGCGATTAGTATGGTATTAAAATGTATGTAATAAATAAATAAAATAACCCTCTTCACCTTTTCTCTTATCTAGAGCAAAGACATTTCCCACCAATGTGGTGTTCGGGTGGAACTGTAATAGTAGGCTAAATTTAATAAATAAAATATTTTTGGATTTCGAGATGTCAAGACGCAAAGAACTCTGGGAAAACATACAAAACTTACAAAAATAGATAATAATAAAAAAAACTGTTTATCTCAAACAAACACAACTTGAGCGGGTTTCCATTAATAATACGAAGTCAATTTGATCTCTTCAATTATAATTAAGTGACATCAGACCCTAATCACTACAACTTCTTTCTTTCATCAAATGGTCACTCTCGCCGCGACGTCGACCAAAACATATCAACAAAAATTGACAACTCTACACTCATTTTTTTTATTTACACATAAGTTATCGTAAATAGACAAAGCGCCTTTTTATATAATTTAACTACCCAGGAACCTTAAAAATTTAGGGAAAGATTCTAAGTAATCTAATGTTTTATTGTACTTTAGATCTAAATTTACGATAGTTATTGCTCTTATTTTCTGATTTGTATGGACGTCTGTATTGACAAAAAATCTGCACATTTTTACACACAGAAAAATAATCAATTCTTTATAAAATGTTCAGATATCTACCTGAACATTTTATAAAGAATTGATTATTGTAAGCTTTTCCATTTATGATTAGTAAATAATCTTTACTTAACAATA